AAAAAATAGCTTCTTAGTGAAAATATATATATATATATATATATATTTACATATCATAGATTAATTGATTTTTAAATGATCAATTTTCAATTCAGCAAATCGCTGACCAGCTTACAATGACCTTGAAACACTGTACGTTGTCTCCTTTTATTGATATATATTGTACATAATTTTTTTTTATGCAAACTGAAAATTGTTATTGGCATAATCTAAAACTGGCTCCAGACATCGCATCTATCAAATCAATTCCAAGTCCGCTTGCAGAACTCTGTTTTGGGGATTGTGTAGTTTATGATTTGCACATTTTTCTATGTTTTCAGGCGTATGCATTTTGAAGTGAATCCTGACTAAGCTAGCTATTTTTAGATTTATTCTTGTTATAGTCAAACATTTATTTGCAAAACAAATAGTTATTGCAACAATTAAACTAGTTACATATAAAAATACATGTATTTTTTAGGTCCATAAATAACTGCATTTAATGTGTCATCACAAAATATCCCTTTTCTGCAAAGCAATCCCACTCTGGTACAATATTTTATCATTAGTGTTTCTGTCCACTGCCTCAACCCGTGCTGCAGCCCCCACTGCAAATAGCTTGGTGATTGTCTGCTTAGGTCAGGGGTGGCCAAACTCCGGCCCTTCAGTTGTGGTGAAACTACATATCCCATGATGCATCTCTCTCCGGGAGTCCTGTCTGGGGCTGTGAAAATCTTGCAATGCCTCATGGGATTTGTAGTTCCACCACAGCTGGAGGGCCATAGTTTTGGCTACCCCTGGCGTAGGTACTAAACTGCTTTGTGGAGAAACTAAAGAGGCAAATACTTGTGTGTCCCATACCCAAGAATACCAGCTATGAGGCTGCAGTTATGGCCCTGGAGGGTGCCTGCCCAGCAGTTATATTATAATGTATGAAATGTGGTGACAGGTTTTATTTATTCTGTTAAAGGCTAATTTGACCTTTTGCAAAAAATGATTGCACCCACATGATTAAAAAAAATTGTGCATTTGATAATTGCTTTGGAGCCTGCAAAGTATTGCAACTGGGAACAGTGAATTGTGAGTGCAATGCACAGGCTCCTGTAGACTATTCCCTCCCAGCTCCGGTCTGTACTGTGGAATGCACTTTGGGGCTGGAGGAAGCAATCAAAAGACTACAAGTGCGGTGACGTCAGCGTACTTGTGCTTCATTGACACTGCCAGTGGCTCTGTGGGTGGAGCCACCCCCAGCCATGACAAAAAAAAAAACCAGGATGCTAGAACTCCACAATTTAGTAAGGGTGGCCAATTTGTGGCTTGGGGGGATGCGGACTGTGACCATATTTTATGAGTGACCTGGTCCTAAAGCTGGAATTGGGTGTTGGTAACATGCTGCGTTTGAAGAAAAAAAACAAGTGGGTTCGACTCAATTCAATTGAAGGGAAACTTTTCAAAAACCTAGTTCATTTCTACTGCATGTATTACGGTGCTTTTGTTGGTCCAGTTGAACTTGTATGTAATAGCTTATGATGCGAAAATATGTTATCTGGGATAGCCTATCTTGAGAAATGTCCTTACAACAGAAACAAAGCCATGTATGGTATTTTACATGCAGCTAAACTATAGCTGTCATAGCTTATACAACCCTTTTCCAATGGAAATAGAGGAAATATAGAAAAAAAAAGGCAGACCTTCTAAAAAGAACAATTTCACTGCAAAGAATTTGATTGGTCGTAAATAAAAAAATTTTGCCCATGTTCATATTTGGTAGTTCAGACTGAGCACCAGGAATACATACATATATGTATAACAATCCTTTAAAGGAGAACTATGAGGTGAGTGCTTTTCACTCACCTCATAGTTCTAGCCAACCTGTGACAATGAGAGTGTCACAGGTCGGCTCAGTAGATCGGGAGGTGAGCGAACACATACCGGCGTTCACTCACCTCTCGATCCTGTCACGTACTCCAGCGCTGACTGGCGGAACGGACGGGGGAGGGGGCGGGTACAGCTGGCTCTGCCTCTAGATAGGCAGAGCCAGCTGTCACTCACGCAGCTGGGCGGATCAAGACATAATTGTCGGGATCCGCTTCAGCTGTGGCGTCTCAGTATACCACGAGCTGTAGCTCGCGGTATACTGAGCTTAGGGTGACGGGAAGACGCTAGTTTGTGTCCTCCCGTTACCCTAAGGAGAACTATGGGGAAAAGCCTTAACCCCATAGTTCTCCTTTAATCTAATATTCTTTCAATCTTGAAGACTCTCCTTTCCTCTTCTTCCTCCACCTTTCTTTTTTCCTTTTCCCTCCCCTTTTCTTCCCATTTTTCTTTATTCCTTTATTCCTGTCTTTGTCCCCTCTCCTCCATGTTTTTTCTAGTAGGTTGTTTTGGATTTTCGGCTGTCGTCCTTGCTGTGTAAATCATTTGGGGGCTATAATATTTTACATGCATTCCTTCTTTTGACTTTTTTGTTCTTTTTTTTTTTTTTTTTTTTTTTTTAGATTTGCATTGTAGCTCTTTCATTGTTTGTTTAATAAATATACAAAAAAAAAGTTAAAAACACTATTACTAAAAACAGAGTTGGTTTTAGGGGTAATTTATATTTATTTGAAAAGATAGAGAAGTGACAATTATTATGGCAGGCATCCCATCGCACTCCAGACCAGAATCCCAATATGACCAAATGGGTGCTGGCATGACCTGCCAATGGTACCGCTCAAATCCAAATGTACAAATAATCAAACCCACACCAGGTCTAATGTGTCAATATGCCTTTATTTAACCGCTAAGAGTACAAGGTAGCAATAGTGGACAGCAAAGTTTCATAACCATTAGCAGTCCCTTCATCAGGCAAACATATTATACAGGATTTATATAGCGCCAACAGTTTGCGCAGCACTTTACAATATAAGAAAGACATTACATACAATACAATTCAAGACAAGATGGTAAGGAGGGCCCTGCCGGTGAGGGCTTACAATCTTGACCACTATGTTTGCCTGATGAAGGAACCGCTAATGTTTCTGAAACGTCGTTGTCCACTAGTGCTGCTATGTATTCTTAGAATCCAAATAAAGGCGTATTGACATGTTGGACCTGGTTTCCGGGTGACAACTTGTAGATACGAATTATTATGGTTCACAAATTTGGGATGGCCAAGTGTATAGTGTCAGTTCTATTTAAATATTGGAACTATGGGAAATGTATTCATATTATGTACCCACCGCCCACCTCCTTGATTAAGCCCATTCCAGGGTGGAACATGTTAGATTAGAAGTAGATTCTGATGGATGGCATTGGTTTGTAACACATTGTTCTCTGTGGAATGAAGCTAAATGAAGTAAGCAAGTAAGGATTTGGCAGCAACATAGCTTCTTACATTTTTGCTCTATCAGCCATGCCATAACCATGCAGTACCACCAACATGCTGTAAATAAAATTAGTCACAAAATCGGACAATAAAAATTGAATAATTGTGCTCCCTTGTCACCTCCTCCCATGATCGCCTCCAGGACTTCTCCACATTCCTCTCCTCCTGTAACTGTCTGTGCAATTCTCTCCAGCTATCCACTACTCCACACTTAGTCCATCCCTGAAAACTCAGGAAAGTCTATCCCTCTTTTATCTTTTCCATCAACTCCTCCCTTACATCTATTACCTTTTGTATCACTTGCCCATCCTTTTAGATTGCAAGCTCTCATGAGTAGGAGCAGGGCCCTTCTTTATTGAATTGTATTCTAACTGTTCTGTCTCCTTTTTTTTGTAAAGCACGACGGACACTGTTGGTGCTATTTGAATTCTGTATAACAATAATGGATTAAGGAGAAGTGAAGGGCGGGACAGAAAAAGTTGAGCTTCCTTTATCTCTAGATCTGTGCATTGTTTTTACATTATTGCTTTTTCTCTTTTACAAAGTTTTTATATATCCAGCGTATGGTACTATCAAAAGGTGCAACAAGGATCTAGTAATATAAAAAATAAACTGAACACGTGTACATTGATGGCACTGGAAAGGCATTCTTGGCTACAGCATTTCCTCTGGTGGACCTCTGCAATGTGAACTTCAGATAAGTGTCTGGGTTTATCATTTTATCACGGGAAGTCTGAGGCCAAGACTAAACAAATGGTACCAGGGGTGTGGGGGAGGAGATTCAAAATAATTATTAGGTCGGTTTTTTTTGGGCATGGGAGGGTCTAGGAAGTGGGTAGGGCAGGTTAAGATAAGCAGGGGTCCAAAGGGTAGAAAAAGGAAGAGGAAATGGAAAAAAAAAGGTAAGAGCAGAGGGGAAACCAAAGGGTAGAAGAAAGCTTTAAGTTTTTCAATAAAAAAAATATCTGTTAGTCTGTTTTTGATTTCCCGAAAGTTTTATAGTGGAGTTTTCTTGACCTAAAGAATTGTTTGTTGTACTAAAATATGGGAGATTAAGATAGATGCATGGTTTGAGATGTTGAACGGTTCTTGTAATAGCAAGGTTTCCTGTTTTTGCTTACCCAAATTTAGATGCTGCTCTCTAATTCAGAGCAGATGAGCTTTGGGGAACATCCACCATACATGGAGCATAATAACTGGGTGTTGCATCTCTGGAAACCATTGAGGGAGTAAAGCTTGGCCATACACATATAGATTATCTGCAGATTTTCTATGGTCAGATGGAAAAAGTGCAACAGATTTCTCCAGCTACGCTAAACTGTGTGTATGGAGGAATCTCACCGCTGGGCCAAGTTTCAGTATCTTGCTAGTCGGCCCCGCTGGCTGTGAAAATACCTGAACAATCTGATTGGATACAGGCATTGTTCGGGTATTTTGACAGCCAGCGGGGCCGACTAGCAAGATCCAGAAGCTTGGCCCAGTGGGAGATTCCTCCATCCACACAGTTTAGCATAGCTGGAGGAATCTGTTGCACTTTTTCCATGTGACCATAGAAAATCTGCCGGAAATCTATTGGTGTATGGCCAGCTTTAGAGGGAACACAGTTTGATATTTGAGCTGGGGTAGGGTACCAGAGTAATAATACTTTACACAAGTATTCCAGTGACAGAATATTCAGCGATGGGTACAGATATTCTACATGCGTCAAACTTACTTCCTCTTCCAAGGAGAGAACATATGGGCGTTTGGTAGTAAATATTTCAATATGGTTTCCCCAATTGGTTTGAGTTAGCCAGGTTTCTGACATTTTTGCTTTGGATGGGTCATATGGGCACTTAGTACTCTTGCATTGACTAACAATATAACATTTGATATTACCAACATACGGTCTTAACCTTTAGTGCAATATTTAGACTGTTTACATTATTGTACAACTATACACCATATTACATGAACATTTTGATGAGTAACTACACCATTTCCAAATTAAATATGATCGAACCTACCCAAAAATATTTGTACATGAATAATACAGGGTAAGTAATAAAAGTACATATCACTTCATTCAGTTCATCATCTCAAGGCTGACTGATACACCACTTCCAGAGAACTGTCAGTTTTTCACAATGGAAGAGGTATCCTTGTATAGCTGGATCTCAGTTCTTCTCTTTCTCATCTAGATCAAATCCTCCATTTGATTGTGCGTAGGGTGAACTAGTTTCTTCTACCGCTTCTTTTTTTCCACATGACCTTTTATATAGTTGGTATGCTAGAAGTAAATGTTGCAATATAAATAGTTAATAACTATATATGATTCACATCCGTATCATTTATTGTATGTGTTAAAGGTATCAAAACATGATAATGAAGTGTACTACTTCTTCAGTCCAAAAATAGTTTAAGTCCTTACTTGTGCAGGTTCCAGGACTACCCCATTACTGTTTTGGGAACTACATTTGAATGCAATTTTCTAAAGCATCCACACATACAGTATATGTATATGACATAAGGTCTAAGCCACGGGTACGCAACCTTTGCACTCCAGCTGTGCTGAAACTTCAAATACCATCATGCCTCTGGGAGTCATGCCCATGGCTGTCAGAGTCTTACAATGCCTTGGAAGGGCTTGTAGTTCCATAACAGCTGGAGTGCTGAGGTTGCCTTCCCCTTATCTAAGCCACAGGTGAGCTAGATGCCTGAATCTCTAGCTACACACTGTGGTTCCATCTGCTGGCTCCTACGTCTCCTACAGGACACCATAGGGACACATGGCAGGGAGATACAGCTTCAGTGCGTGGTGGGGGACAGAGTCATCTGACACACCATAAGATACAGTAAACTCCCCATTATCCAACATTCAAGCAACCGGCACTCTCAAGCAACAGGCACAAAAAAAAAATATATATCAATATATGTTCTCGATTTTTTTTTTCCGGTGGCTTGATGCATATTAAAAACAATTCTGGTTGCTTGGTGCACACTAAAAATGTAATTAGCAATTACATTGATTTTGTTGCTAATGGAATTATTTGTTTACATCTTGCTGCTGGCCGGTGGTTAGATTCGGCTGTCAGCATAATGTAAACAATGGAGAGATATAGGCAGCCTGCTAATGGCTTTTTCAAATTGTAATAGCCAATAGCAGGCTGGCTATTGTGCCCACCCACTGAGAAGAGGAATGGACCTGACAGAGAACTTTCTCTCTCAGAGCCCCTCCTCTGCTTGGTGTATGGGGTTTCAATAGCCAGCCTGCTATTGGCTATTTGGAAAAGCAATAGCCAATAGCAGGCTGGCTATTTCACCTGCCCATTGAGCAGAGGAGCGGACCTGAGAGAGAACATTCTCTCTCAGGGCCACTCCTCTGCTCAGTGGGAGGGGCTTAAATAGTCAGCCTGCAATTAGCTATTGCAGTTTGAAATAGCCAAGCACAATCTGGCTATTGCTCCCGACTGCGTACGTTCACCTGTCGGCTGTGGAAGCTAGCGCCGACAGGTGAATAGGGCTGCTGGGGGGGGGGGGGGGGGGGTGTGGGGGGTCGC